TGTCCTTATCATTTGGGCAATAACATTGATTGGTTTTTTTCACCTTGGAGGAAATCAAGTTAAATCATTAATAAAATTACCAGAATCAACGAATTTTAAAGTTATCTCATCTAGAATGGGAAGTCATTTTTCATTTATGACTCAACAATCATCATCTAACCATAATGATAATAATAATGAAAATAATTTTGATGATTTTTTAAATTTAGAACCGGATATTGATAGGTTTCCTGAAAAAACCGATGATAAAATTATTAATAGAGTAAGTGTACTATTTTTCTTTTTTTTTTTCAAATTTAAATACTATTTTCCCAAAATGTTTTTTCATCGTTTCCGGTTTTCATTTTGTTATTAATAATAATAATAATAATATTATAAACAACCTGGACTGGAGGGGAAACAAAATTTGAATACTTGTTTTTTTTTCTTTCACAATTTGAACTTACCTTGAATTTAATTTTAATACTTCCTCAATTTCCTTTTTATCATTATTATTATTATTATTATCATTATTAATTTTTTTTTATATACCATTGTGTTGAAACGGACATGAAAAAAAAAAAAACGAATAAAACAATGTGTATGACGTATATGCGAATTAAAATTTTTTTTTTTTTTAAGGTACTCTACTCATTTCGGTTTGCTAATTAAAAAAAAAACTGTTAGTTTAATAAGAAGAAGGAATTATCGATTTATTGATTTATTGATTTTTTATTTTAGATTGACAAAACATTACCTAGCTTACCGATTGTTTATTGGAACAAGAATAAAAATCAACCGAAATTTTATAAAAACGAATCGTGCGCAAGATTTCCCAGCATATACGAATTAGAATTTAATAATATTTATTGGCAAACTTTGGTAACGTCAAATGGTACTTTTCAGGTACGTCTTTATAATAATTCCATCTTTTTAATACTTGTCATTATCTTTTTTCTATATAGATAATAGAGAATAGTACTTCAATAACATTGTTATTTTGCAAAGCTTTGTGTGAAGTTTTAAAAGCCAAGGTCGAATTAAAAAAAAAAAAAATGGCTAATGACTTGAGTCATTTATTAAAACGATTTTTTTTATTTTTATTTTTCCAGTTGTACGGTGCTTATTATGACGTACGAAGATTTAGCAGGATAGGACCCGCAGTTCGAATACTCGGTATGATTAATAGAATAGAACCTACTGTTAAAACCTACTGTCAATTTTGGTTTGAAAATGAAAAAGAACCGGTTTTTGTAAAAACTTTGGAGTACAAATACATATGGTATAAAAAATGGGGAAATTACAAACAAGGAATTTATCAACCCTATTTGATAGCTTGTCAAATACCTTCTAAACATAAGGGAAAAGTACGTTTATTTATTATTATACCTCTTTACGGTTATAATTTTTTTTTTTTTTTTATGAAGATATGAGTTGTTTGTGAAGATTACCGTGACTTTTGGTTTTAATGATTTAGCAATTTTTATATTAAAAAAATTGTGGTTTCGTATGCGAAAGAAAGAGAGAGAGACAAGAAGAAGAAAGGAAAAAAAACATGTCACGGACAAAATAATCATCTCATGTTAAATCTTTGTAAATGACAATAATAATAATAATATTAAAATCAAAATTCGTATGATAGTTTTTTTAATAAAAAAATATTATTGGGTCGTAACCCGCACCCAACAACATGTTTGGTTGTTGTTTTTGTGACGATTTAATAAATAAATTTCAATTATCATTATTTAGAAACATGATACGCGCATGACGGTTATTGTTGAGCCTCGAATTGTTGTTGTTAATAAGGTTTCACACTTCTTAAAAGTCATTCCGTATTATTAGATTCACTTTTTTTTTTATAAGTTGCAAACAATGACAATCATTTTCCTAATGCTCTATAAACACAAAATCATGAGGGATTTTTATTTGAGTAAGTCACCGTCATAAATTACTACAAAGAAGGTACACACAACTCTCTCTCTCTCTATTTTAGTTAGGTCGGTCAATACCTCTCCCACGAAAATTTTTTTTTTGTTTGTAAATAAAATAATATAAATAATAAATAATATATCGATATCTTATTCAATCTTATTGGTAAAAATTATATTCCGTTAGCTCTACTTTTTTTCGCGCGCGTAATTAATCTTTTTTTTTTTTTTAAAAGAGTTCAACAATTCGAGTACATCATCCATCATTGAATATTTGTTTATTAAAAAAATTACATTTCTTTTTCTTTTTTTAAAATAGGTACCAGCAAGCGTTTCTTTAGTCGAAAAACCCTGTAACAACGCAACGAATAACATCAGGGTAATATATAATCATTCCGCAAATGGACGTAAAAAAGAATTTGCTGTTTGCGTCAAAGGATTAGATTTCCTTCACGAAGACCTATCCGTGAGATTGGTCGAATGGATAGAACTTCTTCACATTTTAGGAGCCGATAAAGTGTTCTTCTACCAACTTCAGGTGAGAAATAATTTTTAACACCTCATTATATAGAAGCAGCAACTCCTCCTCCTCTTTCTTTTAATTACAAAAAAAAAAATTTAATTTCTTTATTTGGTTCGCGCAGGTACATCCGAACATTAGCAAAGTTTTAAATTATTACGAAGCCAAAGGAAAAGTAAGCGTGACACCGTTAACACTACCCGGTGGACAACCGAATTTACCTGGTTTTCAACATCTTTATTTAACTAAAAGAGTTAATTATAAAAGGCAAAACGAATTGATACCTTATAACGATTGTTTGTATAAGAATTTATACACGTACGAATATGTGGCATTGTTAGACATTGACGAAGTTATAATGCCGATTAAAAGTAAAAATTGAGTGATTAATGAAAGTGTCTTACCAAAAGCACTTAAAATAAAAAATGAAACACGGGCTAGTTATAATTTTAGAAATGTTTATTTTTTGGACGATTTAAGTCACGCTCACGGTTGGTTTAAAGACATACCCAGGTACATGCACATGTTGCAACACGTTTACAGAGCCGTGAATTATACTAAACCTAATCAATACGTGAAATGTTTTCACAACCCGGAAAGGGCTTTAACTCTTCACAATCACTTTCCATTGGCTTGCCTGGGTCAGAGTTGCACGACGTATGCCGTGGAAACAGAAGATGCACAATTGCAACATTACCGTGCGGATTGTGTTAGAACTCTTAAAAAAACTTGTATGGAATTTAGACAAAACAGTGTTATCGATTCGACTATATGGAAACATAAAAAAGAATTGATACGGAGAACGACGGAAACATTATTAAATTTAGGATTTTTTAATAGAGGAAAATTTCAAAGTACTGCTGCTGTGCCAACATAAAACTCCATTTTTTAAATAAACTTATGGAACGAATGTTTTTGTTTTTTTTTTTTTTTTTTATTAAAAGACTCGATATTTTTTATTATTATTATTATTAAAGACTTTTTCAGACTGTAAGTAAACCAAATTAAGTTTTTAAAATGAAAACGAATGTTTATTATTATTATTATTATTATTATTATTATAAAAATTTCATAAAGACTTTTTCTTTTAGAATTAAAAAAAAAAAAATTTTAATATTATTAAATATTACACATTAAATAAATTATTTAATGTTAAAATAATTTCGTTTTATTTTTTCATAAAAAACACGCACACGCACACGCACACACGCACATTTACGCATTAATAAAATGTCTATATACGGTTAATTTTACGTTGCAAAAATAAAAATGAAAAAAAAACTTTTGACGAAATAATTTTTAATATGAGATGGAAATTTTATAAAAATTTTTCATTATATTTTCACGTCGTTACGTCACACAATAAAAAATTTTCTTTTTTTAATTTTCGAAACGTTTTAAAATAATAATAATAATTTTTTTCTTAAAAAAAAAAGTGGCAATGGTTTTTTTTTTTTTTTTTTTTTTTTATTATGACTAAGACTTAAAAAGTTGAAAGCTATTTAACTACGTGTTAATTATGCAATTCATTAACAAGGACAAATAATAAAAAAAAAAAAAAAAACATACCTTAAAGCTATTATTATTATTATTATTATTATTATTTGGCAAAACGGACTTGATAAAACGTATTTACACAGCAAACAATTTTCATTTCCTATTTGCGATTAAAAAAATTTTAATTAAAAAAACCAAAAACAAAAAATTTTTTATTTCAATCAAAGATTGATGAACTTTTTTTTTTTAACGGTTTTTCATATATTCTCAGACGAGAATAATAATAATAATAATAATAATAATAATAATTTTTAAATTAATAATATATAAATTTGATATCCATAAACGAGTTAAATTTTATTTTTAAATAAATTACAAAAAAAAAAAATACTAGAAATCTTTATACATTGGAAAAACAACAAAGATAAAAGCATTTCGATTTGTTTGTGCCTAATGATAATAATAATAATAATAATAATAATAATAATTACTATTTTTCTTTGTGTTTTTTACGTATACATCCGATTCCTCGATATATATAGAAACCGATGGTAATGACCTTGTAAATCTATTAACATGTTTGAAGGTTGACTCCTCCTGGAATGATGAAAAGAAACAAAATAACGTCGATTTCATAGTTCTTTTTTTTTTCTTCTTCAATTATTATTATTATTATTATTATTATTATTATTATTATTATGTATTAAAATAATATAATTAAAAGAGAAAGTATATATATTATATTTTTTTTTATAAAAAAATTTACAATTTTTTCAAGATTCACAAGTAATCAAATGAAAATTTCTTTTTTTTCTTTTTCAACGAGAGACATTTTAAAAAAGTACATGAATACATAAGTTAAACATGAGTAAAACATATAATTTTATTTTTCTTTTTTTTAAATAATCAAAAATTGATTTAAATGGATTTGGAAAAAACGACGACGATGACGATTTGACAAAATTAATTAAAAATCTTTGTACAAAGAAATTTTTTCAAATTTTTAAAAATAACAATGTGATGATAATAGTAATAATAATAATAATAATAGCTCATTAACTAAAAAAAAAGTATTTGAAAATTTACAAAAAACAGAAAACAAATAATTGTTTGGTTCTTTAAATTTTAAAATTCAATTTAAATGTCTTAAATGTTTATTTACTTACTTCACTTTTATCACTTATTGTTTTAACATTAAAAAAATTAATTATTATTATTATTATTATTTAAATAATAACTGAAAATGTTATTTAAAAAAACAACATTCGCTTCAAAAAAGAAGAACAAGATTTTTAACGATTCCCTTTAGTCGTATCAAAGACTAGGACGAGGTCAAATATAAATAATAAAGTATTTAAAGATGTACATTGATAAAATTTTCAGTGAGATTGGTTAGAAAGAGAAGAAGATATAGTGATGGTCATTAAGGTTGCTGTTATCGGTGCTGGAGCTGCAGGTTTGGCTTCTGCCAGGTACGTTAATTTTTTTTTTTTTTTTTTTTTATGTCGTCGATTACATAAAGATGATGATGATGATGATTATAACGATTTTTTGTTTGTAGACGTTTGAAAGAAAATTCAATTTTTTCTTTTATCGTTTATGAACAAACGAATTCAGTGGGTGGAACATGGGTTTACGATGAACGAACCGGAAATGATGAATACGGATTACCCATTCATACCAGCATGTATAAAAATTTAAGGTAATTATAAATATAAAATTTTTTTTTGAAATGATGTTACGGTTACTACTACTCAACTCCGCCATATTAATTACAAAAGAAAAGAAAATTTAATTTTAATTATAAAATTATCTTTTTTTTTTCTCTTAAAAATAATTTTTATTATTTGAAATGATTATATATTTTTAAAATAAAAAAAAAAAAAACTTATTGGTAATTTTTTCGATATTTTTTTTTTTTATATAACGCTTAACTAGTTTTTATATAAAAAAAAAAAAAAAACTTTTAACCTTTTATACCCCGACCAAGGACGGCCACGGAAGGTATATGGAAAATAACTTTCAGGAAGTGCGTGCCTGTGTAACAAAAAAAAAAAACAAAATTTTCACTCTTCGACCACATGTCGTGAAAATTTCAATGCGTTGACATTTTTTATTTATTTATTTATTAATTTTAATAACGACGAATGACGTATGAAACGGAAAAAAAGTAGTAAAGAATCGTAATTAAAAATCGTAATTTAACATGTTTTTTATTATTATTATTATTATTAATTTTCATGTGCCAACCCACGTCCGTACTAATTTTATAAAAATGCAATAACAACAACAATAATAATAGTAATCATTTTATGTAATCATTTCCTTTTGTCATCGTGCGGAGTATTTAATAATTTACAAATCAATGAAAATAATAATGATAATAATAGAATTTTAAGTGTATGATCTAAGCATTAAGTAAATAAATAAATAAGTACTAAAAACGCGTGAACCTTGAACACGAATATCGCACAAAATCTAATTTTAAATATTGATAACGAAAAAATGGGCGTAATTTTGGTGGCCATTTGGTAAACAGGAGTCCGAAATCCTTATCAAATGATAACAAGTTTAAAATTTTCATAAAGTTTTAATGTCAAATGTAAAAAAAAAAAATTTTTCTTTTTTTTTTTTCCTTAAACAACTTTCACTTACGTTTAAATAAAGCTAATAAATTTTTTTTTAAATAAATAATTACGTTTAAAACAACGTAAACGCGTGAGTTTACCCGAGATAATAATAATAATATAGTAACCATTGAAATACCTGTCGAGAATATGGATTGGATGGATTAGCTAAGAAATGGTACAACCGTGACGCTTACGACAGCAGGTACATGGACGGTTCTATATGACCAACACAAATCCACACCGACGGAACTGTACCAGCCAACAAACCGGATATCATCCTGAGGGATAAAATGGTATAAGCTGATTGAAGTATCCGTGCCGGCGGAAAAAAACACCAGGCAGCCAAAGAAGAAGACAAAAGGCTGAAATACCCAGGATGAGGGGAAAGTAAAGACAGAAACGATTCCTTTCATCGTGGCAGCAGCACTGGGAGCCTTGCTATGATGCCACATTCAATAAAAAAGAAATTTAAAGAAAATTTTGAAGAATTTAAAAGGAGGAAAAACCATCCAGGAAATCGCAGTACGTGGGACGGCCCACATTCTTCGGAAAATTTTACAGATAGTATCATTGATCTTTGAGCATTTATCCCTAAGGAATCAGGTAGAAACCTGGAATAAATTCTTAAAAACATTCCGACAAATAAGAGCCTTGTCGTGTTTAAAAATGAAATAATAATAATAATAATAATAATCGTATTACGATTCGTATGTAGCGTAAAAAAAAAAATTATGGCTAATTACTCCCTAATTGGTTTTTCTTTTTTGAAGTCACAAGGAAAATTTTTTTACAACAATAATAATAATAATTTTAACGTATAATTTTTTAAATTTTCAGAACGAATTTACCAAAAGAAGTTATGGGTTATCCAGATTTTCCAATCATTCATTCGACCAAAAGATCATATTTACCAGCATCGAACATATTAGAATTTTTAAAAAAATTTTCACAACATTTTGGACTCAACGAATTCATAAAGGTTTGTTTGTTTGTTTGTTTGTTTGTTTTATTCATTCCGCATGTGAATTTGCCGTTTAAAAAAAAAAAAAATTATTTATTACCATCTTTTATGCTAATAACGAAACATTAAAATGTCTTACGTAACTCAAAAAAAAAAAAAAATTGATATTACGCGTTTAGTATTTATATATAAAAAAAAAAAAAATTATTAATTAATTAATTTTCCATAGAGGAATTAAACACTCCATCGGTCACGGTTCAAAGTTTATTTTTATATTTAAAAAAAAGTAATAAATAATAATAATTATTATTATTATTACGTAAAAAAAAAATTACGAAATAAAAATTACCTTTGATGAAAAAGTTCAAACGATGAACGTTTTAAAAAAAGAAAATTTTTTAAACGTTTTTACAACATTTTGAAAATGTTAATTAATGATAATAATGATAATAATAAATCGTCGTAATAAATTTTTTTATTTATTTATTGCTTGGTTTTATTATTATTATTATTATTATTATTATTATTATTATTATTATTGCCGTCGAACGTTTATAAAAATTTATAATTTTTTAGTAAAAAAAAATTTAAGATGGACGTTCAACGAACGTTTTTTTTTATAAAAATGTCCGTCGTTCGTGCGTCGGGCAGCATTTTAAAATCCTAACGGAAATTTTTATTCGCTTCGAGAATTTTAAATTTAAAAATGGATAAATTTTTTTTTTTTTTCAGTTTCGTCATCACGTTAAATCAGTTAAAAAAAATAAAAGCGGGGAAGAAGGAGGAAGATGGCGAGTGGAAGTGAAAGATTTGGTAACCGGAAATTTAATAACAGCTGATTT